GAAAAACGCTCAAAGAACCCCTGGACTGCCTGCGTATTGGAAGGAGCAATTGCTTGAGAACACAATAAAGAATAAAAAAAAAGCCAGCGTTGTGGAAACGACCAGCGAGACTACCCACCACGTGAGGGCTGAGCTACATCCCCAATGTCAAAGCTCTCTCGCGCGATGGCCCACCCCCATCCATCTCAAAGCACTAGGTGGGGGTGACCTTGGGACGAATGGCCCGCGCCCTGAGCATGAGCGTGGGCGGGCCGAGCCAACTGGGACCCGCAGTGGGGTCAACTAAGGCTCGAAAGTCTACCGGGGTTTGGCCCTACAAAAATGGTGGAGGTGACGGGCAGGGGGTTAAATTGACCCTTGCGATTCCGATGGAGGCGCCCGACGCATTGACGTGTACACAACCCAAGATAAGGAAAATGGACTTGTGTTTGCCCTTTCCCTTGTGAGAAATCAGATTTGAGGGTGGCTGGGCGCATGGCATGGCCAGGCCTGGAGGTATAACATGCATGCTATGCACTTGATCAGCCGGTCCTTTGAGGAATGGCTCTAGCCCTCCTCCGTCCGGTGCTGGTGTTCGCCAGTCCGGGGAAGCCTTGGGCAAGTCGCAGGTCGACCGTTCCTCTTCGTATGAAAGAGGGGCTCCGGTTACCTGGCAGGCGGTTGGTGCTTGGCTTAGGCCAAGTTCCAGTGAAAATCCCACGGCGGAGTGATCCGACCGAATGGGTGCTTTCCCCTTCTTCTTTTGAGCCCAGCGGGCTCATGCACTTTGCACCTTTTTAATGATTGAAGGAACCAATATGAACACAACGGGTCATCCAGAAAGAACAATCCTACCCTATGAAAGGACAGACAAGTGAAGAGAAGGGAATGAAGGGAGTTGCTAGACTCCAAGGAAAACTAGCTCACCCTTGAAGATTCTCACGAGAATGAACCAACCACTATGCATGAAAGTAGGGGGAGTGACACTCATTGTCCTGAGAGAAAATTTGTGAGTTATGGGTAGAAAGCGTTGGGTGCACCAAGGGAAAGGCACTTGTACTATGTATGTCCCACTTGGGACTTGTGACTGCATGATTGGAATTTCGAGCGTCCTGCCATTTGGAAGGAAAGGATTGGTTTGCGCCGGCCGGTGCGGGATGCGAGCTGGTCGTCCTCTTTGAAGTTCACCGGGTTCCGTGTGTGGGGGTGGGGCCACCAGATTGTCAGGCAAGGGTTGGTCTCGTCGGCTGACTAGTAGCATTCTCTACGGAGCGGTCCGATCATGGCTCGATGATCTTGCCCAGGTGGGATGTGAAACCTCTTCAGGCGGGGCGGCTGCTTGGCGGCAGACGGTAGGGGGACCACTACATATGGGGCAAGGAAGGAGCCTCGGAGGCGATTGAGAGTTTCTCGTAGCATGGCTTGGGAAAAACTGTTCCTTATCGGACCGATGGAAGTGAATGCCTGGACGGCTGGCTCCAATGGCCCTACCGAGATGTGCGGGGTGATTCCCGAGATTAACGGTGGGTACACGGTCGGGATGGGGTATTCTGGGTAAGGAGGAAAGGGCGAATGCCTTGCTGAGACCTGGGTACCGCGCTCGCGACGGTTGAGCTGTGCTTGAGGTATGGGATAAAACCCTACCGATAGTACCAGCGGAGATACGATATTGGGATGGTCGGTGAGGAGATGACCGGCCCGTATGTGAGGTTGCCTGATTTTCTCTTATGTGTTCCCCCTCTGTAAAAATTGATTGAGATTGGACTATTGGACGGGACATATTTCTAAGTCTCCCCCCCCATCTAAGTCCGCACGAGTGAGAGATGATCGGAAGGAAGGAGGATAGAGGTAAATTGGAATGGAACCAAGAGAAAGAATGTGGGCAAATGGATGGTCGGCCGAGGGAATTATAAGAAGGGGGTACTTAGGAAAGGGGAGGTAAAATAGGGAGACCTTGATGAGGGGTCTGAAATAATTCTCATCTAGGACAAGGGTTGACCACACCAAAAGGATCGGTTGGTGCCTTCTTATGAAAACAGGGGTCGGGTGTTGAAAACAAGATGGCGCGATGGTTGCCTTCCCCGATCTACAGTAGCGGCCCGGAAATGCCAGTAGATGTAAAGGATGGGGTATCGGTCGTCCTCCCGGAAAATGGAACGTGGACGGACCTTGAACCAGCATATCAAACGGTAATGCTGGAAGGAGAGGATGTTTTCCTTTGGATAGAAACAATATGGACTAATGTCAGCTTGACGAGGTTGTCACCAAGTTTAATGGATTTGGAATTCCGAGGGACGGTGGAAGCCCGGGGTTGCGTCTACTTGTCGCAAGATGGAGAGAAAGCTATGATCATAGAGTTGGCACTCGGGAATACGCCGGACGAGTTGTTTAGAAAGGCAGAAGCGGAGGTTGTGTGGGCTGCATGTCAGCGGCGGGAAATGGAAATGGAAAAGGTAGACGTACGAGTGGAACTTGGGGATAGAGGAAGCATGAGGCGACCCGTAAGAACCATGCGATGTGTGTTGCCCTCATTCCTAGTGGATGCGGTTTTCGGAACCTGGAGCAGGCTAGTGCGAATATGCCAGTCCATGACGAACCTCGGGCTATACCAATGCGCTGGGCAAGATTTTTTCGGTTATCAGTAGAGATGGGGCCATTCGAGGGGAACTGGGTGGAGGAGCTGGCCGAGATACTAAACTGCCTTAGCATAGACAATATCTTTGTCCCTAGCGCTGTGCATTGGGGGATAATCTATAGGAATGTGGCAATAGGGAAAACGTTTCTAGATGGGGTAAGGGAGTTGATGTACGACGAGGAGGACGACTTCAGTGATGAAGATGAAGATGAAGAGATAGAGGACTGCGACTTCTAAGAGGGGTAGGGTGACTTAACTTAGGGAAGACGGGTGGCCTGGTATTGTCTAAGGAGGAAGTGAAAAGAGGACCAGCTAAGGCTGTGTCACGCTAAGCCCATATTATACACGTTTTCGTCATTCTCATGTCTCTGCAGACAGAAAAGAAGCGATCCCTTTCAATGCTAGGTCAACACCTAGTTCCTATTGCTGCCTTGCGCCTCGGCTTGCCCAGTTCCTTGTCCACCCCGTTCCTTGGCAGGATTCCTAACCCCCAGGCCGTAGGTCTCGATCTCTCTTTTCATCCTTACAATTTGATGCAACTCTGCCTCGTTAAAAAAATCCAGTGGTGTGGCTTCCACCCCTGCCCTTGCGAGTTCCCGAGGCTTGATAATCCATTCGTGCCTGATTACATTGGTCCATTGCTGAAACCAATGACTGGGCGTTGGCCCGAACTCGTCCTCCCATCTGAAAGCCCCATCACCCGATTGGTGCATCGGAGGCCGCCCCTCTTCCCTAGGCCTTGAGATCTCATCCCTCTCATCCCCGCTGCTGATTTCTATGACTTCTCGCACATCCTCCTCCTCGTCCCCCTCGTCGTCAGTCTGTATGGGGCTATACTCATCAGCAATGATGATGTGTAAACGCAGTATATGGTGAACTGTTTTTTTTTTTTGTTTTTTAATCCTATTGAAAAGTGGTGCTCCTATGGGGATGCATTGGTTAATGGGGATGGGGGGTAGTAGGGGGCCTAGGGATGGTAAGGCACATAGGGGGGTGTTAACTTTTTTTTTTTTTTTTTTTACTTATTGAGAAGATATGGAGGTTTCCGGGGATGCATTGGTTAATGTGGGTAGGGGCCCTAGGGGGGTGCTAGGGGCGGTAGGTGGTTTCAGTGTCTAGCAAATGATGGTGTGAATGGGGTACATGATGAACTGTTTTTTTTTTTTTTTTTTTTCGTATTGAAAAGTGGTGCTCCTATGGGGATGGATTGGTTAGTGTGGGTGGGGGGGGGGTAGTGGGGCCGGTAAGGCACATACGTGGGTGTTAACTGTTTTTTTTTTTTTTTTTTTCCTAATTGAAAAAAATTGGAGGTTTCCGGGGATGCATTGGTTAATGGGGGTAGGGGCCCTAGGGGGGTGCTAGGGGCGGTACGGCACTTAGGTGGTTTGAGGGCCAAAAAGTGAAGGTATGAAAAATGAGACACCTGATTGGCTGTTTTGTTTTTATCGGTTTTTGTTTTGCCATTGTCGTTTCATGCTTTGTCCTTGTCATCCAGTTCCGCTGCTTCACCATCGGTTCATCCGTTGAGGTTCACTGCAGCCATTCGTGACGCAAGCACGCTTCGTGACTGCAACCTGTTAGAGTCTGCGGTTCTGACATCATGACGAGGCGAAGTGGTAAAGAACAGGTCGGCGCCGACACGGCCACGTGACAAACGAAAGTGGTTCAAGAAAGGGACACAACACGAAGACATTCGACTCTCCATTTAAGACTGATCCGGTTATTGATACAAAACGCGACGACCCCGTGTGGCATTTTGTTGCACGTGGCCGATACTTCCATGGTGATACGGCGTTGGGGAGGAAGGGTGGTTGTCGATGTGTGTGCAGATTGTGTGGGAAATCTATTTGTGGAGGAAGTAGAGATGCGAAGGAACATTTCTTCAAGAGCAAGGAATTCATATGCCCGACAGGGACTCCTGTCGTGTATTATACCATATGGGGGAAGAACATGGACAAGTGTCCGAAAGAAATAGTTGCCTCAATTGAGGAATTGAAGAGGCTTCCTCCCAGTCACCCGTGCTTCCAGTGGCCGACGCTTTCATTCCCGGTGGACTCGGAGCCTCGCCGGTCGCCTGATGGTGTGGCACGATCGGTTGTTACACCGTCTAGCGGTGCAGTCGGCGATCCGGTTGTGCCACCTGCAGCGGGAGCACCATCAGCAGGAGTACTTCTGCCGGCGGTCCATGGAGGGACCGCGGTGCCGGCGGTAGCGGCAACAAGACCACCGCCAACGGCATCTGATGCGTTGGCATCCGCTGTTGCATCTACCGCGGGTGGGGGCACTAGACGTACCACTACATCGCTGGAGCGCAAACACTTTCTCAGTCGGCGCGTGGTGGTGTATTTGATGAGCTCGACACACGTCAGTTCGTCCACGGCAGTACATGGGCCAGAAACCTAGGCACTTCGGCTGACTTGCATTCTATGTTCAAGAATGTCGCGGCCAGAGCTTCGGGTCCAGCGGGACCTCCTCTTGCAGCTACCCGCGGCACGACCGCGGCATGCACGTCTCGATGGTCTCCTCCTCGTCCTCCACGTCCGGCTGCCCCTCTGCTTGTGACCAACTCGCTTCCACCATCGTCCCAGGCAGCAGAGGACGCACCCCCTCCCCACCGCTTCCCGTCTTTGATTCTCGCCCACTCCCGCGGCCGAGACTGCCCCCGCATTCACTGGTGTCCTGAGGGGGATATGGATCCACTACAGCGGCTACACGACATTCCACTCCCACATCGCGTGACACCGGCAAGTCCAGCTGGTTTGTTTGACGCTAGTGGATGTGGCCCGATCGCACGAGGGAGGGGCACATACGAGCAGCAGGCAGTGATCTCATATTATTCCAACCCGAGGGAGCATGCATGGCACATGACGATCATGCGGTTCATCGTGGAGAGCGACATGCCATTCAACTGCATGAAGCTTGAGAGCTTCAGACGCATGTTTACGGCCATCATCCCTCCTGGGGTCCCAGGGGCTCCCATGCCCAAACCGCCGACTTATCACATGGTCCGCACGACGTTGTTGTATGAGCTGGATGCAATGTCCAGCGGTGTGTGAAGTCGGTGCTCGAGACTTCGCGTCAGAGTGGTGGAAATATCATGACGGATTGATGGACAAACATCCGTGGTCAGACATTGTGCAACTACCTTGTCGGTACTAAGAGGGGACCCGCGTATCTTGCCACAGATGTTATGCGCGGGAAGAAGGATGCTGCAGCGTTGGCAAAGCCATGGTTGCATAAGCTGAAGACCATCGATATCCAACTCAGCGACATCACGACGTTCGTCACAGATTCCGCGGGTGTGAACATGTCCTCCATGGAGATATTCCAAGAGGACGAAAGCGTCAAACATATCTTCTAGAGTCCCTGCATGGCACATGTCATGAACCTCGTCCTGGAGGACATTGGATCGATTGGTTGGGTTGCATCACACATTGCTCAGGCGCGGCTTGTCACCAAGTTCTTCAAGCGCCACAGTCACGCACGCGAGGCTTTGGAGGCGAAGACAAGTTGTTGTTGCCCGCAAAGACACGTTTCGGCACCAACGTCATTCTGATTCGGAGACTGTTGGAGTTGCAAACCCATCTCATGCAGGTCGTTACCAAGGACCCGTGGCGCGACACTGTTTGGGCCACGAGGAAGGTCGGGCAGGACATCGCCGAGATCACATCATGTGCGGGGTCTCCTCCATGGTGGGAGGATTTGAGGCGATTGTTGTGGATTATGGACCCTGTGATGGAGATGCTGCAGATGCTGGACAGTGACACACGGCAGATCAGCAAGGTCCTGCGTTCATATGAGATTATGATCGCATCCTGTCTTGCCGCGTGCGACTGCCTCAACACGACCGAGCAGGATGAGATCCTCGAGGTTTTCGATAGGCGGCGCACCATGTTTCGTACTCCGGCCCACACAGCAGCCATGATGCTCGATCCCAAGTTTCTGGATCCCACCATGGCACATGACGACATGATGGAGGAGGGGTTGAAAACTGCTTTGGTTTAGTTCGGCTACCCCGAGTGTTACATACTGCATTCCACACGGGCCCTTTCAGGCCCGACGACGAGGCTCAGGGGTTTCGAGGGCCTGGACGCGATAATCCAAGCCAGGCCGGCCCAAAGGCCGAACCTTTTTAGGCCGCCCCTTTGGCCTTACGCAACAGGTTCTAGACCAGGCCCTGCAACTGCAGGCCCTGGGCGGGAAATGGCCAAACGTTTTTGTTTGGACCAGACCGCCGTTTAGGCAGCCTGCTTCTCGAAAACCGGTGCGACCTGAACCACGACTCAGTCAATATATCTGACGGTTCAGATCGGAGGCCACCTTGGGAGGCAGAGGCCGAACTGGCCGCCGACTGGTATTTAGGCCCAGCCAACGACCATTTCGGGACATAGGAGGACTGCAACATTGAGGAAAACGCCGCTGCGCTATTTCAGTCCAGCGCAGCGCTAGGTGTAGTGTTGGCTGTAAGAAGAGGAGAGAGCGAGGAGGGAGACTTACCTGACAACAGCCACGAGCGCAATAGCTCCCAGCAACGCAGCTGTCTCCTGCAACAGCCAATGTGCCGCCACCTTGTACCATCAGGTAGGGCCTGGAGCTACTCGCCATCTCCGCCAATGCTCTGCTCCTCTCTTCTTCTTCTTCTTCTTCAAACTTCTCTTCTTCTTCTTTTTCTTCTTCTTCTTCTTCTTCTTCTTCATTAGACTTATCTTCTTCTTCTTCTTCTTCAGACTTCTGCGTCTTCTTCTTCAGACTGGAGATTATTGATTCGAGTTGGACAAAGATCAGGGATTGGACTTCGGTGGTAGGAGGTTGTGATAGTTACCGGATTCGAGACATTGGAGATAGTTGGGACTGATACCTGGCGGCTTCACAGATCGAACATCGGTTACATTAGGATTCTGTACCTCCGACATTGGTGACTTATGCCCACGACATTCTGATTTTGTTCGGTGACATTTTGGGCTACCATATCGATGACCTTCTCGATTCTATCTCGATGACATCTAATGCTATCCATATCTCCCACCTCCATCGTCTCTCCTCCCACCATTCATATGTGTATGGTTGTACGGGGCCTGAAGCATCGTCTATGTTTGGCTTCAGACCCCACCATCTCACGATTGCTTGTGTGTTGAGTGATGTTTGGGGTGAGTTCGGTCTATGTGAGTCAGTCCATTTCTCATACTTCCGCTGTATACATGCTCATCCTATATTGGTTAATCTTTGGTTCTGCCCATACTTGGTGAAGTATTCACTAGTATGCAACACTTTGGTATCGAAGCAGACCAATTAAGTGGATCTGCTCACAGGGTAATTCTGATTAGGGAATCGATTGCTTAATTAGCATTGTCTTTTTTCGAATTAGTTTCGCATTACTATCAAGGATTCAAGTTGCAAAATTCTATTTTTAATTCAGTATTTTGTTTTAATTCGGTATTGAATTAGGGTTACGAGTTTTTTTTTTTTTTTTTCCTTTTAAATAACCCGATGGACCACGGATTAGATATTAAACTGATCAGAACAGATACTACACTTGATCTTAGCCAAAAGGCCGAGAAAGGTATATCGATAAAAAATTTCGGTTTTTCGCATTAGGGAAATTTCGCGTTTTCTGGAACCATAAACCGAAAATTCCACGAAATCGCGGAAAAGTTGGGTTGAGGTCTGAAATTTTCGTGAAAAATTTTTCTTCTTCTCTTTTTTTCCCTAATTGTTGAAATTCCGAATACGGGCTTTGGCCTTCTGAAAATCAGACTACTTTATGTTGAGATTCCCGAAATTTCACGTTTTTTCGAAATTCGAGTGTTCTTCTTCCAAATTGTCCGAAATTGTTTTTTGGCAGACTGTTCAAAATCGTTACCCCAGAACTGCAACTTCCGGGAAGTTCACTAACAACGGTGAACTCCTGTACCATAGGTGATCTCAACGGATACCTGATCTGCCGACAATTTAAATTTCGTATTTTAAATCATTCTTTATTTTTATTATTTATTATTTAATATCTTCCAAATTGAATTGTTCGGGGGGAAAATATCCTCTTTTTCTTTTGATTAGGAATCTAGTCCACATGTATGTTGATTGTTTGTTCTGTTCTACCCATGTTCCCACCCTCCCTGTGCCTGTGAACACCGAGACTTCCAAGTACCACATCAGCCCATGCTGATGTCGACAGAACAGGACATCGAGGCACTGCCATGACGCAGTGCCAGAATCGCAGTTTGTAGCCACTCTGCGCTACCTCCACGACCTAAGTATCAGCAACAACGACTCATCCGGAGAACGACTCCAACGACATCCAGTACCAAGGCAGAAGCTGCAGTACCGGTCACCACAGGGGAACTTCCCGCCTGTCCGGTCCAAGGGGACCACGAGACTTGAGCGGCTTACCTTCAGCGGGTGCAGGCATTCACAAATGTCGTCGCCACAGCAAAGGCACATCAAGAGGCAGCAGAAGCAGAACATCAGAGGCTTGCCCATGAGGCGGCAACCCAAGCTCAGTGGACTGCTGAGGCTGACGCAACGGCTCGAGACAAGCGGAACACCGCCAACACTGAGTCCTTGATTCGAAATGAGAGTCAGTGGACAGCGCTACTCCAAGGCATGACCTTTGTGCCTACGTGCGAGCAGGCGGATCCAACACCGGCAGAGGCAAAAAGGAGTAACCTGGCTAACTTGATGTTGTGTATGATGAGGACGGTAATGTGGAATAACATGATGCAGACAGTGCACGCGCACAATGGACGACAGTTGAGACAGACTCAGCAGAGAGAATCTTCGGAGTTGACAGCCGCCATCCGCGCAGCTGTACAACATCAGCAACAACTGTTGGCATCCACTATCACACGTGTCAACAGCATCGAGGCTAACGCCCTTAGCAGCACCAGGCTGCACAACGGACATAGCGAAGCATCTCGGAGAGCGCATCGACCATGTCGTCAATATCATCAGCGACCTAAGTGACTTTACCAGTCCGGCCACGATCAGCAGCACGGTGGCCGCCATAAAGATGGACATCACTAAACTGCAGTCACGACCGAAAGCCGCCGCGATGGCATACAAGATGCCACACTTCAACATCGCCAAGTTCGACGACTACAACAAAACGGATGCATTGGCATGGTGGCAAGCCTTCGTCACCGAAGCAGCCTGCCACCACGTGCCAGATGACCTGATGATGACAACACTCTACCTCCAACTCATTGGAGGAGCACAGGCATTTATGAACCACATGGCGACCAATCTGGGAACCACCATTGTCGACCTGCATAAGCACATAACGTGGGAGCAGCTCAAGCAAATGTGGCACACTCGATTCATGGTCCGAAATGTAGTGAAGGCAGCCATGAACGAGGTCTACTCCAGCTCGCAAGGGAACATGTCAACACGAGACTGGACGATCAAGTGGGAGAAGATAGTAACCACTCCACGTTTCGACTCAAGTTTCCCAAACTTGCGATCTGAATTTTATTCACGATCGTGCGGAGGACTGCGGTCGGCACTCGGTAACGAGTACGACTATGCCTCATTCAAGGCCATCCTTGACCGTGCTAACCTGGTTATCCAAACAGATGACAAGGCCGCCAACGAAAGGCAGTCCCAACCACAATATGTGGCTAAGCAAGGTTACCAAAGGCAGGCACATAACAATGAGGTGATCGCTGACGGATCACCTGATCTCCACGCTGCAGCAGCCTCCTCGAGTGATGGAGGACTTGTCACAACGCTCCCGCCGAAACGTTCTAAATGGGTTCGAAAGAACAAGGCGACACAAGGGACGACGACGACGGAGACTGGGCAGCAACCATGGACGACATACAACATCACCAAGGAAGTATTTGAACTTCGACAACGGTGTGGGTATTGTTTTTGGTGCAACATTGTAAACCACACTACTGCACAATGCCCAGACAAGGGCAAGGCAAAGGTACCCCGTCCAGCTAACTCGGGAAACTGAGTTGCGCACGGAGAGGGGCGACGCCTCTCCACACTCCGCCGGAACCGGTTGCCTTGCTAACAACCGATATCACTATTGGGGAGCATGCGTTAGTTGCTGATTCTCGTGATGCATATGAGGGTTATGCCGCCCAGCTGGTGCCACCATTGGACCAGCCTAGCCACGTGCACTTAGATAGCGTATGCGTAACTTGTACACCGTCGGCAAGAGAACCGGTTAGTTCGCCACTTATTTCTGAGAACTCAATGGTGTGGTCAAGGCTTGAGGACCTCCACCCGCTCAAGAGAGAGGACTTCTCTTGGATGCCTCTACCCTCGACCGCATCCTTGCCAAAGCTGCATTGTAACGCCTTGATGGCAGATCTACGCTGAGCCGCTTCATATCGCAAAACAATTGACTTTGATGTCTTGAGAAGTTCCCTTCTGTAAAACCATCTGTTCTAAGAAGGAGGCTGGAATGCGAACCTCACAAGATACTGCCGATCGGGGCCTGTGCCCCACTCATCCTCAATGCTGTCCACGTCATATCCCTTGCCAGGGATCGGTGGGCCAAATTGAGGGGGCCGGTCTGGGAATGCATGAGCTGGAGTGAAGGGAAGCAACTTAGATGCATGGAAGACAGGGTAGGTGCATAGATGCAGCGGGACGTCGATGATATAGGATGAACCGAATGGATCAGCGCCCACTGTATCTAAGACCTGCCACGGACCCAGGTAACGAGGCAACAACTTGGGGGAGATATCCTCCTCCCTCAACAACTCAGAACTGGCTACCCAGACATGATCACCAATGCGGATGGGGAAAGGCCGCCTGTGGCGATTAGCTTGTCCAATCATCGCCTTTTGGGCTTTGAACAAGTTCGCCCGTGCTCTTTCCACATCTATGCGGTAGCGTCTGGTGAACTCTGCAGTGCCTGCAGTCAGATCAGACTTGGCCTTATCGATGATATCATCGAGAGGCTGTCGTGGTTCACGTCCCCAGTGTAACCGGTATGGACTGAACTCAGTCGAGGAGTGGACAAACATGTTATAGACAAGCTGTGCCCGCGCCAAGTGGAGATCCCAGCCCTGTTGATCTGGAGAGATGACAGGACGCAGCAATTGGAATAGGACTTGGTTCATCACTTCAGCCTGACCATTGGCTTCAGGATGATGCCCATAAGTCATGTCCAATCGTGAGTGCAGATAGTCCTTACAGTAGGACTGCCACTCATCGCTGCAAAACCGGGGATCCCTATCACTGACTATGGAAGTGGGCGGTCCATGGTGTGTGACCCACCTCTCTGAAAAGGCTGCTCTCACAGCCGGAAATCTGGCCACTTCTTGCAAGGGGATGAACTCTGCGTACTTGGAGAACCTGTCCACGCAGACCATAACCTGACGCATGCCACGAGGGGTGGTATCGCCTAAATCTGTGAAGTCTATCGACACAGATTCAGCAGGGCCATCAGGTATGGGCAAGGGTTAGAGCAGTCCCAAAGGAGGCCTACGCTGGACCTTATTCCTTTGGCAGAGCTCGCAGGTTTCCACATAGTGCAGCATATCACTCCGCATCTCCTTCCAGAAGAAGCGCTACGACAGGGCTGCATATGACTTTAGGAACCTAAAATGTCCACGGGCGTCATGACACTCTGACAGCAGCAGTGTCCTGAGCCGCTGGTCCTGGGGAATGCACAAACGCTCCTCCCCTCTGTTGTAAGTGTACAGCAGACCTGAACTCAGAGCATAGCCTGGTTCAGAGTTAGGATCTGCTTGCAGATTCCTGACTATGGGTCCAAAAGTCGGGTCCTCAGGCAGTACAGGGGTGCTTAGATCGGACCAGTGGTAGGCGCTTTACACACGCGCGGTAACTTGCGGCACTAGAGGAGGCCACATCACAGGTTGATGTGGCACTGAATCTGACACGTGGCAATTTGTCACGTGTTCTGCATACGATTTCCATAGTTGCCACCTTACTTACCGGGTGGCCTTTGATTCTTGTGGCTATGGCGTGAAGACGCTGTTTCTGCTATAGCTGGTGGAAATTAGCGGAGAATGCCTTGAGTGATCCGAATCGTGGAAGGTGCGGAAAATCCAACACGAGAAGAGTAATCATAATCAAGCATTTGCGGAACACGGAGGAGAGAGAGCAGTATTTCAACTACAAAGAGGTCAACAACACCTTAAGAAAGGAGGTGTGATAGATTAGTTTTGGTCTAGCGTCCAAGTGGATCGATGTTGCGCTGCTGTTTCGCATCCCATAGACAGACGGGAATCACGGTGGTATGGATCGTGGCCGTTGCTAAGAGGAGCCACGTGGGCGTTGCTTGGCATTGATTGTGACTCACGTGAAGACGAACATAAGTTTCTATCAGCAAGTTGAGAAATGCTGAGGATCGCCATCGAGCGCGGCTACTGCTCTTCACGATTGGTAGTTGGGCGCTGATCGGGTGCGACATTGAGGGCAGTCAAATCAGCATTGCTTGGCGCTGATCGTGGAGCAAGGTTGTTGTGGAGTATAAGAGATGCTCATCATCAGGCGATCAGCAGAAGTTCAAGTCTTATTCCATCCGCAAGTTGTGAAATGTTGAGGATTGTCGTCATCTAATACTGAGGCTCATCACGACTAGCAGATAAAGAGTCAAGCTGATGGAAACCACGTTGGCGCTGCTTGGTGTCAAGCTGGCGACATTGAAGGGAGTCTCATCGACAATGGTTGGCGTCTTCATCATTGGGTGATCAGTAGAAACATTGGGCGATCAATACAAGTTTAGTTCCTATTACATCAGCAAGTGGTGATATGTTGAGGATCGTCTTCGTAGTCATAGGCGGGAGCCATGTCGGCTTTGTCTATTCCATTAGCAAGTGTTGATGTGTTGAGGATCATAGTCGTCGACATTGTCGGGAGCCAGGGCGGCGCTGCTTGGAGCTCAGTGGGCGACATTGAAGGGAGTCAAAGCTGAGTGGGCGACATTGAAGGGAGCCACGTAGGCGCTGACTGGTGTTGATCGTAAGCGTTCCTCTTCATCTGGTGATCAGTAGAAGTATGGAATGCAGAGGAGCGTCGTCGTGTGCTGCTGCTGCTCATCACGATTGACAGATGGGAGCTACGTTGGCGCTGATCGTCGTCGACATTATCGGGAGCCACGTCGACGCTGCTTGGTGCTGTGTGGGCGTCATCGAAGGAAGCTACGTCGGCGTTGTCTGGCGTTGATTGCAAGCGGTTCTCTTCATTTGGCGATTTGCAGAAGTATTGGATAATATGCAGAAGTTTAGTTCCTATCCCATCAGCAAGTAGTGGATGCAGACGATTGTCGTCATGTGCTGCAGCCGTTCATCACGACTGGCAGATGGGAGCCACATTGGCGTTGTTCGTGAGCGGCATTGTGGGGAGCCACGTCGGCGCTGCTTGGCGTTGAGTGGGCGACATTGAAGGTAACCACGTCCGCATTGCTTGGCGCTGACCGTAAGTCACGATTGGCAGGTGGGGTCCACGTAGGCGCTGATCGTGTGCGACATTCGGGGGAGCGATGTCAGCGCTGCTTGGTGACGAGTGTAAACACTGATCATAGAGGACATTACGTTGAGAACGGAGGTGAGATAGAGCGAGAGGAGCGCTCCACGTATGAGGTGAGATAATCTCGAATAGAGGAATGTGCATCATGCACGGAGGAGAGAATTCCTTATTTAAAAAAAAAGCAGGAGGAAATTGTACACGTATGAGGATGTTTAGTCAGGAAGGACCTACAAACGATGAAGAGTGGCTCAACTCCTGCATAGATGTGAGCGCTTCATGATTTAGGAGTGTGATTCACTGTCTGCCTCAAAGTACATTGTGTTGATCACGAGCGATCTAACACCGCGTTTTGGTATTAGGAGTGTGATTCACTATCTGCCTCGAAGTGCTTTGTGTTGATCGTGAGCGATCTAACACCTTGGCGATCCAATATGACATAGTCGGGGTGCGGAATTAGGAAAGCGACTACGGAAGGAGGGGAAGCGAATCGACATTTGCTGAGTGATTGTAACATAGTTGCGGAACGCTGGGGAAAGTTCCTTTCCAAGGTTGAGGGGAAGAAGTGATGAAGAGAACGGGCAAGTAAGTCGAACGGAGAAGTAACACGGAAGCTTTATTAGTCGGCGCCCTTATTTCTGGTGGCTAGTGGCTCGCACGACTATGAAGTAAGGTCTTCAGTGGAGAAAAGCGCGGCTACACACACTGAGGGCATTCGTAAGATTGCGAGTATCTAATCGACGGAATTGCTTTATGCATAAAGGAGGGCGCCCCTAATACGGAGGAGTGTTCTGCACACGGAGAAATGTTTCACGCACTTTGGAACACTTCGCAAACGTAGGGGAGAGTACTTCTTGTGAGGAGGAGATCGCGATCTAGCCGCAGGGATTGGAGGAACGCTTCACGCTCATAGGGGAGAGCACTTCTTGCATGGAGGAGATCGCGTTCCATCCGCATTGATCCACATCTATCAGCATTGTCCTTTCTTTGAAAAGAATGCGTGTGGGAGGTGCGTGGAGAAGGAGGGAGAACAGGTAAAGTGGGGGAAGAAGGGTGAAAGAGTGGGTTGGTGAGGAGCGATGAGAGGCACGACTTTCAGTCATCAATCTTGAACAGAAGAAGGGCATCCTGTCCTAATGAGGACATTGACAGCTAAGAAGAAACTTATGTATTGGCTGAGAGTCGTATCATCGACGAAACGAGATTGAATCGACCTGCATTGTGAGACGGGCTGAGCGACTCTGCTCTTGTATAATCAGCCCTCCTTGCTGCTGTGCATAAGTGACGACTTCATCATAAGGATAGATACGATCTTCGTCAAAGGAAGCTCGACGGGTCCAATCAAGCCAGCTCAAACCAGGTGTGACCCTTCCTAACTACTTCCCTGCCTCCCTTCCATCTCCAATTCTTTTGTCTCCTGGGATCCCAAACCAACTTCTCTAAAAATAACTGGTTAAGTTTGTTCCTCATCGATAATTAAGAAAAATATAGGAATTAAAGAAAGAAAAAGGAGAATAAAAGAAAAACAAATACTAACAATGGAATAAAAAAGAACAAAATAGTAAACGATTTTTT